ATGGGCAGTTTGTATAAGCCCTAAGGGGAACAAAAGTTTCTATGTGTATGCGAAATGTTTGTGGGGTGAAGGGGAATTTTATACAAATATACCAAAAAATGATTGCTTTCTTCCAGTCAGTGGTTGCGAAGGTTGCTTATGAATTAAATGTTCTTCGCACTACTGAGAACCCACAGCGTGCTGGCGGTTGACCTGTGTTATGAAGTATAATGGCGGCTTGTATAATACCGGTAACACACACCGCGGTTTTCCTATGATAGTAATGCCAATGCTGAAATGGGATTTCGATATATATACCTGATTGCTTTCTTTCAGTCTGTGGTTGCGAAGGCTGCTTTGCTCGTTTCTGAGCGCGTCTGCTGTCTTTCATTGCATCCAGAAGAAGGTAAAGATATTCGTGATCCTTTCTCACCTCCTTTCTCAGCTCCCTCTCTATCTGCATAATAATAATAACCACGCAACTCAATACCTAACGAAAAAATCACTATTATCTTACTTAACTACCTGAATGTCTTTAAAGACGTTTCCACAGCCTGAGTCCGCCTGAAAAAGTCGTATTAACAGAAAGTCTAAATCGTTCATGATCCTTGGCTTAAACCAACCACTGTGCACGTAATCCTCGGGACGAAGGCAAGAGTTAAATGCAAAGAGAGCGATTTCTCTGTAGCCTAAAACTTTAGCATGGCGAGTGAAGCACCAAATAAGGCCGTAGAGCACAGCGACAAATGCAAGACAGAGAAGAAGATAATTCACGTTTTGGATCGTTCGATGAAGTCGAAACGACGTGAACACGCATACGACATCTTGCGACAGCCACCAACCCTCTGGCATCGACCTAGGATCGAAATCCCGCGGACACTTGAAAGTAAAAGAAAACTCCCTTGCTTGGAAAAAAGCTCCGTTGACAATGATAGCTATGAATATAACAACAAACTGTAACCCAAGTTTGGTAACATAGAGCGTAAAAATACTCAAGAGCCTCCACTTTCTGGGAAAGTGCTTCTCAAGCTTGTCAACAATTTCGAAATTTTGCGAGCGGTACTGGCCCGTTTTTCTCTCTCGTAGGCGATCGAGTTGTTGAACGAGACCAAAGAAGAAGTCAAATTCTCCACCAAAAAGAGAAGCCCATAGATACTGCGGTGCTGCAAGCAAGAGACCCTGAATGAGAACAAAGAGTGGATAATACTCCGCTCGAGAGAGGCTTTGCTGGCAAAATGTGTTGATAAAAACAACTTCGTCTCTCGTCGGCTCTGTCCCATTGGACGGGACTCGGCAGGATAATCCACCACCCCTGAAAAACTGCAGAGTTATGTCGAGAACCGTCAAAAGTGCAATAATGGTGGCCATGTAAGTGAGGAACTGATCCCAGAAGAACTCCTTCTGCTCAATCTTGTCCCCTCCGCCTTCTCCTGCATCCTTGCTTGCGTTCCTTTCCCCATCCGACTTGCTGGGCAGAGAACTTTTTATTGATTCCGAAGCGAAAGAAGTCGGAGATAACAAAGAGGGGCTTGTTACGCTCATATTTATGGAGTGTTGATTGCCACCATGTCCGATCCTTCGTCCGCTGCACGAGGTCCGCTCGCACGCACGCGCGCCGTGCTTTATTGCGGTTGCGGAACAAAATCGCTGGGAGAAAGGCAATTATAGCCGCCTTTTCAACAAGGCTAAACGAACAGTTCGTGCTGGTAAAAATGATTGTGGTGACAATGAGTGAAGTATACACACTGAAAGAACTACAAAAATGAATCCAAAATATTCTAGCTGGCATAATCAGCTGTATGTCTGTGTCTACGGACCATATGTAGTGGGCAAGTGTCTCTATTGATACACACGCTGCACAGGTTCTGAGGTGTTCGGCAGTCGAACCCTATATAAATGTCAACATCAGTTGATAGCTGTTTACAGCCTTCACACAGTGACATAGCTCTAGCACTTCCTCCGTCTAGTACTGCGTCCGCAGCAGCCCTATCAAATTTACAACCCTTTTGCTGTTCTTTAGCCATCACGTCGGAGAGCGAGAGCCTACTTCGGCGCGGACGAGCGCATTGCTGTGCTGGGTGTAAAGTTTATGCAAACATAGCCGCCTTATCAACAAGGCTAAACAAACAGTTTATGCAGGGATGATAGTCCAATAAAACTTGGCGTAAAAATGATTGTGGTGACAATGACTGGAAGTATATACAGAGGAAAGCAGTGCAAAACATTGTGTGAAGGACTACAAAAATGAATCTAGAAAAATTAATACTATATAGGTAAACTTAATGAACACTTCACAAGATAGATGATATATAGCCCAATAAAACATGGTGTAAAAATAATTGTGGTGACAATGAGTGAAGTATATATACAGTGAAAGGACTACAAAAATGAATCCAGAAAAAATATTCTAGCTGTCATAATCAGCTGTATGTCTGTGTCTACAGACCTTATGTAGTGGGCAAGTGTCTCTATTGATACACTCGCTGCACAGGTTCTGAGGTGTTCGGCAGTCAAACCCTCTATAAATGTCAACATCAGTTGAAAGCTGTTTACAGCCTTCGCATTTGACTTGGGGTCTGAGAGGCTGCAAGTTTTGTGTGTGCATCATATCAAATGTCAATTGCAAGTTAAAACATCATGGAAGAAATACACTTGACATTCACCGGTAGCATTATGTTTATATGTTTTGATAGAAACTGTGTATTACGTTGGTTAGCGTCCAGTACTGATGCTCCTTTGAGGGAGCTTACAGTAAGAGAGAGTTTATTTCACTCCCTACGAAATCAATCTATCTGACTACACACTATTAAGTATACTGTCACTATACACTATTAAGTATACTGTCACTACACACTATTAAGTATACAGTCTAAAGCTAAAACTGTTGCTCAGTGATCGTGTTAGTCTTCTGTTGTAGTCGATCACTTCCGGTAACAGCCACAGTGTGGGCAGTTTTGGTAGCAGTCTTGCTTGCAACTCCCACAGACAGTGATGTAGCAACCACACGCAAAGTAAATGCGGTAGATTGGATGGCAGTGTCCACATGTTCCAAGATTATCATCTTCAGGCTTGTGTAAGTTGTGAGTTAGAATTAATTTACAATCATCGCACACACTGTGCAGGCATAAAACTTAGCCACGGCTGTTAGCTAGCTGCTATCCCTTCACACTGCATACAATTACTTCTATGCTGATTCATGTGCAGTGCCAATGACATAATGTGAGCTATGGTAAAAAGCTGAGTAGTTGCTCCTAGATCCTGGGCGCAGCTAACATTGCCTAATAGATAAACAGAGTCAACATGAGGAGAGTACTCACCGCGCAAGGCCCTCCAGAACGACCCGAAATCTCGTTTTCAATCACGTCTTCACCAATAGGCGATGAAGGACTTTGGGGCACTTCTTTCGCCTGCATAAACAAAATGTGTCAGCAGTTAGCTTATGTATAGACAAACAAGCATTTTCTCACATTGTTTAGCAGTTCTTGGCCATCTCTGTGTGTGTTGGCTGCCAAGTAATCCATCTACACGAAGAAGAGTGTACTTTCGTGACTTGCATCATTAATTATTAAACAGTGCAATATTTTTTATCATGGTAGGCAAGATAAAATAAGATTATAGTTTAAACCCTGTCCTGTTCTAGTCTAAGCTACGTAGTTTTTTTTGTCCATATAGCTATGTAGCTACTGAGATTCGCTTTCTTCAGAGTCGGTGCGATTGGATTCTGGATGGTTTTCGCACGTGTCATTCTCAGGAAGGTCAAAGCAATCATCACAGGTGTCCTTGTAACAGCCATCCTCATAGTTGATTCGGTTGTCGTCATTATCATGTCCACAGCTCCCAAGATAAAACTTAATACACCAATTGTGGTAATTTACAATAAGCTAGACTACTAACCTGATCGTCACTCATGTTTCAATCTGCAAAGCAATATTTTTTCTTAATAAATCTCATATCTACCTACTAGTAATCTCTTTTAGGCTCGAACTTACGCAAATAAATCATAGGACATTAATAGGCACTGGCCACTTTGTACCTTTTCTGATACTGCAAAGACTCTTGAGGTATAGCAGTTGAGCTTCTATCTCTTTCTCTCTTCGTTACAAAAACCTCTCCATTTTATATGCTCGTCTCATGACCGACTTCCGATAACTCAATCGCTAGAAAATCTATTCTTGGTACAAACTGGGTGTCTCCCGATACGACATAGCAACTATTCACTACCTATCTTCTATACTCAGTACACCATAAGACACGGCACGTGCCCCTCTGGAACGGATGACATCATGGGAAACTTCACCGAAAATCCAAATTCACATGACACGTAGATACTCATTCCGATAAAGTCACGAAAACATTGTCTGCGGTGGTGTCCTTCAATTCCGCAACCCACACTTTGGGACAAACAACGGGCGGTCCCCGGGTCCGTCCCCGGGTCTTTCCCGGTGCACATTCATCGACTGAGTGTCGCAACAGGACACGTGGACTCACTCATACGAGAAGTGTGCCTTACTTTGACCTTATACGGTCAAAATGGAATTCCACTACTGCCGTGGTGCAATCTGATTGGTCAGTGTGTCCAACGTACGACAGCTGTGTTGACGAGCCAGGACCTTGTGCCATGGCAACCACCCTCTTCCCCAAGATTATCCAGATAACAACTGCTGTAGAACACAATACTTGATCTTCCCGATACCTGGGAAGCCAGGAAAGTGTTTGCCGAAGTCCATTTGTTGAAGTGGACCAGTTGTAAGGCCATTGTGCATGGCTCCATCCAGTACATATATCAGATAACTCTGCTAATGGCATTACATCTACCACTCTTCCCCCCTCTCTGCTTTTTCTCTTTCATCTCCCTTCCCTCTCCTTCCACTCTCTATTTTTCTCTCTTTCTTTTACCATTTAATGGGACATTAATGGGACATTAATTGACTTTCAAGAGGTGGGCATGTAAACCCTCTATCCCAGCTCTCAAGGCCAGGCATCTAGGTTCCAATACTGTCATGCATGCATAGAGATGTGTTTGTATTATAGCTACATTGTTTCTTTACCAACCCCTCGTTCTGTAGATACTGTTACCACTAGGGTGTGGTTGGTGCTCATTATTTGGAGTGTCCTTTATCAAAATATGTGCAAGATTAGCATAATCATTTTGCTAGAGCCCTGCAATCCGTTTAGCTGCTTAACGTTCGCAAGCAACAAACTTGCACTAGCTGCTACGAAAAGATATCAGTCTTTTAATTATTATTCCGCAATTTCTGTCAAAGCAATGATTCCAATTATCAATGCATTTCATGGTCAAACAATAAGTATGGGAAATTATCCCTAGTGTGTCTTGGCTAGGTTTGGACTCTTTTGAAGTTCCATGGCCATCTGTAGCAGGGCCTTTATTCCAGGCATCAGATGATAATCACATGATGTCACATGACTATCACATGATGCATGTCACATGGACCTAATTTTCTGTGTAGTTCGTTATTGTCAAAACGACATCAAAGTAGAGACTTCTGCTGTATAAAAACAAACTTTCAAAATTGGAAAAACTATAATATATAGAAAAGCACTTGAAAGTGCATAACCCTCGCCACTGTTGATTATGGAGGTTCCAATAGTTGGCTGTGTCAGAGAAGATCAGAGACTGCTCTTCCTTTAATAATTTCAGCGGTATTCTTTCTTTGAATACTTGTTGAACCATCAATACAGGCAGACCAGCAAATATTCTCCACACGCGCAAAGCATCTAGCACCGATCGTCGGCGAACTCTATTTGACGCACACTCACCTCGGCAGCCGTCCGTTTCACCAGCTTCCCCGGCCTTCTCCGCTCCAGAATCTTAGTTTACTATGCATGCCTCCTACTTGACAATATGTCCACGTTTCACGCTCAGAGTTGCCGAGAAAAACGGTGGACAGACGGACGGAAGGACACACGCACACACACACGCTCTATAGTGGATCCAACTGCAACTTTCGCTGCGCATGCGCGCAGGCGAGGGTTAATAAGTTAAGTTTGGCCGCGGGGCCCCTGTTGTTATTATTATTGGCGGCGCACCGTGCGCATGCGTAATACGCCGTGAGAGGATACGTACGCACTAACTCCGAGGAAAATGGCCAACTTTGCAGCGGCGCTCTTGCCTACATCGCCGACGCAGCTAGTGTTCGGCGAGAAAACCATGTCGCCGACCAGTCCGGGTGGAAAAGAAGACGGCGGAGCTTCGGAGAAAGGGAACGGGGGTGGAGGAAGTAGCTCGACGGAGGAAAGCACAGGACCTATACAACAGAAAGAGTTCTTCTGGGATCAGTTTCTCGTCTACGTGTCCACGATCATTGCGCTTCTAACGGTCCTGGACGTAACGCTGCAGTTCTTTCGTGGAGGCGGGCTTGCGTGTCGGGTTCCCGTTACTATAGGGGAGGCGGAAACGTGCAGATATTCGGATAACCTGACCACCGGCGGCGACGTGACCTGTGGCGAGATAGAGATAAGCAGGGATGAGGTGGTTTATGTAAACACCTTCTGTCAGCAGAGTCTCACGCGTGCAGAGTATTACCCTTTCTTTGTATTGATCCAAGGCCTTCTCCTAGCTGCTCCTCAGTATCTGTGGGCGTCCCTGTTTGTGGGGCAGTTTGATTTCTTTTTCGGTCTGGTTCAACAGCTCGACAGGTTGCGTAGCAGGGAAACGGGCGAGTATCGTGCAAAAAACTTTGAAATTGTGAACAAACTCGAAAAACAGTTCCCACGTAGGTGGAAATGGGTCAGCATTTTCTTTTTCTACGTCCTAAAACTTTCTGCACAGCTAATTGTGGTCGTCATTGCAATATTAGCCAATGTAGCCGTTTTCGATGTGCAATACTTTGATTTTGCTTTTGATTGTCCCGAAACTCTGAATCCACCACCGAAAGGTTGGTGGTTGCCTATACGTGTCTCCTGCGTCTTCTCGTCGTTTCGTCTTCACAAGCAGTTGAGAGGGATCAACATTTTCCTACTCTGTTTGGCATTTTTTGTCATCTTGTACGGTCTGTGGTGGTGTGCCAAACGTCACGTCAATGCACTTGGGTTCAAAGATGCTGCACTCTTTGCTTTCAGTTCTTGCCTGAGACCGGCAGAATATGCCGAGGAGCGGTTCTTTCACAGTCGAGTTAGTCCTTTTAGCCCCCACATCAGGAACGACTTGGATTTTCTGCTCATGCGGCTTTTTCGTGCCGACTCTGGCCACGGACTTGTCTTCAAGGATATCCAGGTACTCATATCATGTTACTGTCTCTATCTCGTGTTTCTAGCTCGCAGTAGCTTAGAGCTATAAGGTTTAAATCTCAACCACTTGTTTTGTTGCTCTCTCTCTCTGACTTGTAGGTTGAAGGTGAGCTCAAGAAAAGGATCGAAAGGGACCACGAACTGCTCCACCTCTACGTTGAAGCATCAAAAGACAACGGTAAGTTGTTTAGTCACTCACTGACGTAAAATCATACGCGGTGTATTTATTTACGCTAGCACGTACGATTGATTTGAGAAAGATGTTCAAAGATGCTGGGTTCGAGTCTGACCCAGAGCGAGAGGCCTTCAACTCCCTCGGTGAAAAAGCTCTCGGAAACATTACATGGGTATTAAAATATGCATACTTGCATTGCGTCTATGTGTCATGTATTTTTCGACTGCAGGATTCAATTCATACACCGACAATCAGGAACATTATCTTTGGTTTCCTTCAGTTTGTCGACAAAAACGATTTCGCAATGGACATTTCTTTTGGTTCAACGGGCTACTCTCTGATACTTGCAAGAGCCTTTAAAGACGTATGTTATTGGAGTTGAGTATATACGTTCTAAAGTGATATTATGTCTTTGTGTGTCAGGTATTGTCGCTAAATTTCGACCCGTTCTATGCAAACGACAAAGAGGTGTTTCATCTGGAGCAGTTCCACGCTGACTACTGCACAGTTCGATTCCAAGAAAACGTTCTGACTAAGGGAACTGCCAAACTCAACAAGGTACACATAATGCAGCTAAAACCTTTTGCAGTGTTTAACTTTATTATTGGACAGTCAAGACTGAAACCTCTGAAAAGAACGAAGTCTTCAAGTAGAGGACACCTCTCTATAAAGGACACTTGGTTCTGCCCCATACTGTGACACCTCTGAATAAAGGACACTTGGTTACTATAACCTATGTATAAGGGACACCGCTTACTAAAGAACACTTTAGAAGTCCCCAAGGTGTCTGGGTTTTCAATGTACAGCAACCCCTTCTCTTGGATGCAGTTAGAAGAGGGACTGTCCAAGGAATTCGATGGGCCTTACCCTGACCTAGAAGGGAGCAAAAAATGGCTCAATTTGGTTCTCGTGGGCCCCTTTACTGACGATGGAAAGATTGCAACAGGTATAGACTACAGCTATGCATACTTGTTATGTATACTACAGATAATAGCCAGCTATTATTATAGCTCTTTTTGTTACTGTTATAGTCAACTTGTTTCTGGAGAGGCAAAAGAATGCGGTCAGATATGCCAGGCACTGCATACTGATGTACATTAGGCCTATGAAGATTGGTCCGCGAGATGTTGCCGACAAGTTTTGCACTTTTACTCCACCTGAAGAGTAAGTTTTGTATATATTACGATACTATGATAAGCTATATATACCGAAACTTTATCTTCACTTTCAGTTACTTTAAAAAGTCTGGCAATGGAGAAAAGCTGAGGGAATTAGGATTCGTGGAGAAAATACTGGCGAAAAAGAATTCTGCTACCAGTCCAGATGGGGTGTTTATCGTGGCGTGCGAAGAGATAAAAAAGGAACACCATATTCTGGTGAATGCTAAATGTCACGAGACGCAATGCCAGTTTGAAATTACTCTGTTCGAATACTGCGGACCTCTGGCAGAAGAACGTGGTCCTAATCTACCGCCCGCGCCGAACAATTTGACAACCCGAGTTTACAAGAATGTCCGACTGCCGGAAGCATTGCCCTCATAATACCGTCACAGATGCTCTGTAAACTAGAGCAGGAGAAAATCCAGCAGTTTATGGACGGGCACATGGCAATACAACTCCATGCTCGTGTTCCTGAGAATCCTATCCAGTTTATCGTGCCCACCACTACTCCAGGTTTGTAACAACAGCTGCATTCCCCAAAGACCCACAGTTTGTTTTGTTTGTGGAAAGTAGTTGCCACAGTAAAAGCTTCAGTAGCCAGACAGTTTGGCTTCCTAGATCTATCACACAAGTATAGAACTTTGCCATAGAGACACATGATTTATCCATCTCAGGTTCTCCCCAGATTGTTAGTCCTGCTGTTCATGATAATGATGCACAGGCAGCAAGACGTCAGTCGCCTACAGGTCCTCCCCAGACTGCTGGTCCTCCTGAACATGATAATGATGCACAGCCAGCAAGACGTCAGTCGCCTACAGGTCCTCCCCAGGCTGCTGGTCCTCCTGAACATGATAATGATGCACAGGCAGCAGCAATACGTCAGTCGCCTACTCTAAGTCATGACACGATATAGATACCGAAAAAACAGTGTATTATATATACACATGAACAATACATGATGAATTTTGTACGTGATACATAGTGGAATTGTAAATTAACTCCTAAAATGAAGTGTTTTATAGTGATGACATCATTGTGATGTAAATATATATGACATATATGCAAGTTTTGACTGCGGATATTGCAGAGATAATGAGAGGAAATTAGCCCTAATTTGTACTAATGGACTGATGATTGACTGGAGACCTGTGGCATTTGGCATAGCTACTTAGTGAAAATTGCAGCTGTGCATGAATAATGGACAGGAAATGAACCGTGATGACTAATTATGATTGTGTGTTTGGGAGTGGAGTGGGTGTGGTCTTGGGGTTTGGGATGATGATGCAGCTATTACTATGTACCACCAGGGAGGTGGGGTTATTTTCTGTGTGCGCTACTGGGATGTTTAGGGCAGCGATCCTTATTGATGCAGCTCTCGCAGAACCTGTGAACCACCCGGCAGTCAAACCCTGTGTAGCGCTGTATTTTGCCCGATGGTTTACTGCAGCCCTCACATTGCTGGGATGGGGGTGGTACCTGTAAGGGAGGAGAGAAGAGGGGATATATAGTCACAAGTGAATGCAGCAAATTTTTGACAGATATTGAGATCGATGCGTACACACACTTCAGTGTTCAGAACAACGATGAATGGTATTAGGTTGCGGTGGCAGATCTAGGATTTTGAAAGGGGGGTTCCGCTGTCCAGAACGTTTTCGACTGTGCTCGTGTGCACGCACGAGGCCGGCGACGCATGCGCGCAAAACGATAAAAAGGGGGTTCCGCGGAACCCAAGGAACCCCCCTGGATCCTCCACTGGGTTGGTTTGGTGTTATAATAATAATTCAGTGGTTATTTAGAGCAAGACAGATGACCTGATGGATAGCACCACTCCACCTTTCGTGTCATCTGACTTTCTTAATTCATGCATGAGTCATCCCTGGTTTAATACTGTAACCACGGGAATGGTGGGATATGTATGTACTTAACCCTTTGGACGCCATGGGTCTGCTTAAAATAAGCAGAAAGTATATTTGCGCCTATTTTTAAAACCCCCATATAAATTCTTTTGCACTTATGGATGCTCTGGACACATTTATGTGTCTGTGGCTGGTTAAGTGTTAATAATTATTCATAATGGATCGGCATAGTAAGCTAAACTTTCCGATTCTATTATTTATGTTCATCCTATATTGCTAGCACATAATAATAGTTTGTAATGCAGAAAACAGTCTGTCTCTTAGTTTTTGACTTTCTGATGTCAAACACGATTCAAGGAATACTTCACCGTTTGCGTGTATTACTCGAATGTCCCCGAGCAGGGCAATGGGAGTACTCGTTAACTGTGATAGCAGAAGTAGCAAACACGAATGTAGTCGCCACATGTGAATGTCACCAGATTGTTTCGAGGAAGGGGCCCATGTGGACATTGCCCAAGGTCATTCTTGAGAGAAACAAGAGCACGCCATTATTTGATATGCAAAATGTTAGTAAATCCTTTTATTATAATGGCACAGTAATGCAGAAAACAGTCTGTCTCTTAGTTTTTGACTTTCATGATGTCAAACACGATTCAAGGAATACTTCACCGTTTGCGTGTATTACTCGAATGTCCCCGAGCAGGGCAATGGGAGTATGAAAATAAATAGCAGAAGTAGCAAACACGAATGTAGTCCTCACATGTGAATTTCACCAGATTGTTTCGAGGAAGGAACCAATGTGGACAATACCCAAGGTCATTCTTGAGAGAAACAAGAGCACGCCATTATTTGATATGCAAAATGTTAGTAAATCCTTTTATTATAATGGCACAGTAATGCAGAAAACAGTTTGTCTTTTAGTTTTTGACTTTTATGATGTCAAACACAATTCAAGGAATACTTGACCGTTTGCGTTTATTACTCGAATGTCCCGGGGCAGGACAGTGGTAGTATGGCGTTGAACTCTGATAGTGATAGCAGAAGTAGCAAACGCGAATGTAGTCCTCACATGTGAATGTCACCAGATTGTTTGGAGGAGGGAACCAATGTGGACAATACCCAAGGTCATTCTTGAGAGAAACAAGAGCACGCCATTATTTGATATGCAAAATGTTAGTAAATAATATAATGGCACAGCAAGCGAACTATCTATTACTATTATTGCTAGTTCATCATAATCTGCAGTTTGTCTTTCGTTCTTCGACAAAACTCAGCTTCAGCGTTTGCGAGTGTTACTGGCATGCCCATTATTGGGACAGTGGTGGTACAGGGATGTACTGTCATGACACCTGGAGCAAAGCTTAACATAGTCTCCACACTGGAACTCAACCTTATAGCGACCGGTCCACGCCCAGTGGGGGCATTTTCCAAGATCAGTCTTGGCAACAAAAAGAGCGGAAGAATAAATGCAAAAATATGTTATTTAGGCAACAAAGCAAGTCATGTGCACTCAATATTTGTTGCATAGCTATGTGCCGTAAGTGCATGTGATAAGCCAGGTCGGAACTTGGAAATTTTATATAATGCTATGTAGGTACATAATTCTAGTTTGTTCTTGGTTGCAATGGTCTTTCTTGGTTTTCTGGGAGATGGGCCTTTTTACGCCTGTTACTTTCGTGTCCTTTAGCTGAGCAGCGGTAGTAACGGTCTTCATTGTTTAGGCAAACGACGCAAACTTTCATGTGATCTCCACATGTAAACTCCAGCTTATGATATTCTCGGTCATCGTGCGGGCAACTCCCGAGGTTCCAATACTTAAAGGAAAAACACAAAATGTATTATGTACGATGCTACAATTAGCAACAAACTATGCAAACCGAGTTGCAAGATCGTATACAATAATTAATATGAGTGTATTAAAAAAAAAATTATTCAGAGAGAGTTTTAGTTTATCCTCCTTTGTTGCGTGGGAAGAACGATGCCCTGCGTGGGCTGGTGGGGTGCCTGGAGCAGTACCAGTTATTGTTTTCAAAGCAAAAGTCACAGAGTCGAACGGTGTGTTGTCTGCACTCGAACTCCACAGGGTGTGTGGCTGGACCGTGACTACGGTCACAGCGCCCAAGATCACCTCCACGCTTTATATATAGGTAGTACAGAAAGAGTGTAAATGCATGCTTTGGTAGCTACATTATTACACACGTGTAGGCCACTAGAATATTCATTCTATAATACTAACGCCAATCACCAAGAACGGTACAATAGTGAAAAGGTGAATTTGCAGGTCCATTTTTTGGTGTTAAATGGCTCAAAATAGCTCTTGCCAGATGTTAATGAGAAGTCTATAGATCTAAGGCGCAAATTTACTATAATTATGCAGTAGTGTATAAGATTTTGTTGACTTGTAATAAAAGCTAGTCCAGTAGCACATAATATCGTACATTAGCTACAGGATGCAACACCAATCGCACACATCTGAATTTCGCTGGTTGTAATTTGTGAAATCACGCTCTGGGGGAGAATAGCCTTCCTGTCCACCTCCTGTATGGGATGGTTGGTAGATTCTCTTGCGAGAATTTGTTTCATGCCCTGGCCGAGGACAATTTTTATAGTAGGTAGTCGACTTGTAGCAGTCGTTGCAAACTTCGGCTGTATCGCCACACTGAAACTCAATGATTCGTTTTGGTCCGGAATGGGGACAGCTTACAAGTTCACCTTGCTATTTTATGGTTAGATGTGCATTATAAATAACTCTTACCTGCACTAGAAAATTTAACATAATTAATGATAACACTCACCCCGCTCATTTTCTTTGCTTGTGCCTCCTTTTCAAGTGTTCACAAAGATCTCCAGTTGCAGAGCTAAAAATCGAGCAAAGACACAAACCATGATCAAGCAGTCCAGCAAACATATAATGCAAAAACTGCTGGTATATAAAGAAACTTTGATTGGAAGCAAATGACATGATGTCTGTGACTTTTTGGACAGTGATGAACATACTGTGTGGCAAGAAAGAAACAGCAATAAAAACAAAATCTCTGACCTGATCTTTTTGCCAAGTGCTTTTTCCTGCTCCTCTTGTTCAGACAACTGCCGAAGATCTCTCTTGCAAGTCTTTAACAACTTTCACTTTTTATAGGCCACATTTTGCCTAACTCGATCGCTCCCTACGTCACTATAAACTCTATTCCGGGTACGAATTGGGCATCTCCCGATAGCACATATTGCTATTCACTGGCTGATCTTCTATACTCAGTACACCATAAGACACGTCACGTGCCTCTCTGGAACGGATGACATCATGGGAAACTTCATCGAAAATCCAAATTCACACGACACGTACTCATTCCGATAAAGTCACGATAACATTGTCTGCGGTGCAGTCCTTCAATTCCGCAACCCACACTTTGGGACAAACAACGGGCGGTCCCCGGGGCGGTCCCCGGGTCTTTCCCGGTGCACATTCATCGACTGAGTGTCGCAACAGGACACGTGGACTCACTCATACGAGAAGTGTGCCTTACTTTGACCGTATATGGTCAAACTGGAATTCCACTACTGCCGTGGTGCAATCTGATTGGTCAGTGTGTCCAACGTACGACAGCTGTGTTGACGAGCCAGGACCTTGTGCCATGGCAACCACCCTCTTCCTCAAGATTATTCAGATAACAACTGCTGTAGAACACAATACTTGATCCTCCCGATACCTGAGAAGCCAGGAAAGTGTTTGCCGAAGTCCATTTGTTGAAGTGGACCAGTTGTAAGGCCATTGTGCATGGCTCCATCCAGTACATATATCAGATAACTCTGCTAATGGCATAGTTCTACCACTCTGCCTCTCTCTTTATCCCTCCCTTTCTTCTTCCTCTCTCTCCCTCTCTCTCCCTCTCTTCCACCAATTAATAAGGGACACAAGATTGATCATATTGGTTCTTTGTTGTTTTTGCAATAAAGTTCTGTTCACTTTTCACCCAGATAGGTCGGTGCATAACAACTAACCAACCACCCCAGTTCTAAAGGCTGGGCCTCTGGTGTCCTATTCCAGTGAATGGATGGGTGGGCAGGAATATTATTGCTTCTTGACTTAGCCCATTATTCAGAACTACACATTGTTTCAACGAGGTCAAAGGTCAACTGCACCCAGGACAAACCGCGAACCCATGACACTCCGCTCCCTAGGCAAGCTCACCAGCTTATATATAGCATTTCCACTTTGTACGTCAGGTGTTCATTATTTAGAATAGCCATTGTAGTATTCACAAATGCTCAGGCTTAGCTTAAATTGTTGAAATAAGTACATTCTTTAGTTGCCAGCTCCGTATGCACACTATATTTTTTGGCAAAGTTGCGCTGTTTATGTTGAAAAAGACAATTCATGATGTCCAAGCAATGATTCCAATAATATTGTACATCATATAATAATATTATTATCCTAGCAAAGAGTTTCGGTGTCCAACAATATGGCTAATGTATCATCCCTAGTGTCTTGACTAGTTTTGGACCCTCTGTAGCTGCATGGCCATCTGGAGCAGGGCCTTGATTCCTGGCATGAAGCTGACTGATCTCAGAGAAGTTTCCGGAAGACACCATCTGAGTGTACCTCGAAAGACCTGCTGTGTAGTTGACTGCTGCAGCTTCTGTAACGAGAGAGGGAGGGAGGGAGGGAGGAAGGGAAAGAGATTGAGAGAGGGGAGAGTGAAGGGAGGGAAAGAGGGGCGGGTGAGAAAGGGGAGAAAGGGAAGGGAGGGAAAAGAGGGCGGGTGAGAGAGAGGTATATATGAATAGTGTAAAGAGTGCGCTAACAAACCTTGGGCAATGTAGTGCAGACCCATCAGCACATCTGGTGAGATCTGAAACAAGATAATCATCCAGCAAAAAATTCACTACAGAACTTACTACATCACATCATGTACAAAATAATGATTGTCCCGGAGTTGTGTAGGAAGCACCTAGTGTACTGGACTCTTCAGTCACCACGCTTAAGTTTAAACAACATCTCAAAAAACAACACCTTTAGCTTCACTGAACAACCTAGTAATACATTGGCTATGCATGCACAGTGGCCTTATAAAGTTCTGAGTAAGGCTGGACTACAGGGAAAGGCTGATTTTCAGAAATAGTGCCACTGCCAAGGTCTGTTGCCATACACATAGTATTGCGCAACAGCCACCTGAGAATTCTAAGTAAGCTATGCTGGATAAGGAGAAAGGGGAGTTCCTGAAATGAAGCCATGAATATTGGTTCTAGCTAGATCCCACTATACCCTGGACTCCCTGAGTAGGTCACATAGTGTAGCCAGCTTCCTGGAAATGTCCTCAGTCTTTCTTTTGTGGGCCTGCCAGGTGAGATAGAGAGAGAGAGAGAGAGGGAGAGAGAGAGGGAGAGAGATTTAAAGGTGCTAAGGCCAGACAGGGCAGCCTAAACAATGCGTAATTTCTAGACACACACAAAGGCATATACAGTGGAACTCCTCTAATCAGGACACCAATGGGACAGAAGAAAGTGTCCATATTAGTCAGGTGTCCTTATTTCAGGGGTTGAATTGCATGCAAAAACTGTTCTTGGGGAAAGAAAAGGTGTCCTTATTAGAGAGGTGTCCTCATTTCAGGGGTGTCCTTAGAGAGAGAGGTTCCACTGTATGCCTATTATGTGTGGACTTTTGTAGGGGAAAAAGGGTATAGGGTATAGTTTGAGAACAGACTCATAATGGTGTCCTTAGCTGTAAGTAATCTCCATGTTGACTAAGTACTGAAGACCCACAGTTGTACTGGCAGCAGTCCGGCAGTGTGTCAGGATAGACTCAATACAGCCACCATTTGCTGGTGTTCAGGAGGTAAGGGTGCCTTCTCAATCACCTGTGGAGCTGGAGGCTGCGTAACATTCACAAGAGAGAAAATGGAAGAGTTGAGAGAGGTACTGTATATATATACACGTGTTGTTAATTGGAGATCGTACAAAAAGTTGTTCTTAACATCTTGCTATACACTATTGGGCCTGGTGCAAAACGTGATCACTACACTAGAAAGACCAGAGACAAAGGAACCTTGAGCTTTTAAATCATGTGCATAGATTGACGGAATCGTTGTATGTTACACGATGTAACTTGCTGCTTGAGATGCTACTTCATCTGACCTGAGTTGGAGCAGGTGCGGGTGACGACTGGCGATAAGTAGCCGTCGCTCCAGACATGGGCGGAGCCTGTTGCCCGGCAATGGGGGCTTCCCCCAGCGGTGTCATCACGGGGGCAGTAATTGGAGTGGGAGTGGGAACAGACGGCTGGGGAACAGATCGACAAACACAAAATTTTGTAAAGCTGCGTATTTTTTGAGTGGGCAACTCCGAATAAAGGACACCTCTCTATAAGGAACACTTAATTCTGCCCCACATGTATATACATAATTGACGCTTCTGAAAAAGGGACGCGTGACAGTACTATAAAACCAATAGGGCCCGGTGCAAAATGCAATTAAGTTTCTGTTTTCAGCATTATGTACTACCATTTTTTTGTTTATTTCACGTCCCAAAGTGTCACTTATTCTGAGCTTTCACTGTACTTTTGTGATGGCTAAAGTATTGCTAACCTTGTTCTTGGCGGCAAAGGTCGGAGGGTCGTTCCATGCGGGAAGAGGTGAGTTTTGAGACAGAGGATTTGAGCTAACAGCCGTAACTCGGGGAGTGGGGGTAATCGTCGCCTTGGAAACCGGGATTGAAGGGGGCGGGGCACTCGTCAAACCGGTTCCCGAAACTGGTAGTTGAGTATTGATGGGGTTGAAGATGGCGACTGGTTGGGAGCTAGGAGGGTTAGTGGTTGGGTAGGATGGAGGGACAGCCCCAACATTGCCTGCTGTTGGTGGGTTTTGAAAATTTGTAGGTCCCGGTTGGAAAACGGGTTGTCCCGTTGGATAATTGGGTTGGCCAGTTGGGTTATATGGAGTGTAGGACGGCATAGAATGACCTGAAGTAAAAACAACTAAATCACTTGATGTTCATATAATGCTAATGTAACACACAGACTTCTCATATTGAATACCAATCAGATTTCAGCATGCAGAATGGCGATAATCTATAGCCTGGCACGACGTACCTGGTTGAGTCCGTTGGTATGGATTGGAGACAGCTGTCGTGGCAGCACCAGTGTTTGGAACGGAATTGGGACCGTTGGAATGCGGTGCCGGCCTCGTCTGGTCCCGTCCCGATTCCATACGCGGAGGTTGTACATCCACAGTCTGGAATGGGGGTTTGGAACCTTGACCAGGCCTACCTCCCTGTGCCTGGAACAGCCTGTCCTGGAGTCAGGGCATTCTCTTCCTGCAAGAGAAGAGAGAGAGAGAGACTGACACGAAAGTTTATAAATGTACGGTGGGAAACTATTCTGAGAATGTGCTTGTGGTTTAAAGACAAAAACTCTGAAAGTTTATTTCAGGAGAATAGACCCATTTTACATGACAAGCAATCGTTCATGGTTTTCTCGGAAAAAGTCTAGGATTCAACAGTTTAGACTATGTATGTATGTATGTATTTGACAACAGCGAAGTAGCAAGGGTGAAAAAAACAAACAAGTCAACTGCACCTAAGACAACATTGCAGGTGACACGTTGAGGTAGGTATACACAACCCTTCACCTTGACAAGCACATATGTATATAAAACTTTGTAAGAGTTGTTAAAACCTTTTAACACGCGTGTGAGAATTGAAAATCAAATGTGCGCTTCCATGATGATGAAGATGTTGGTGATGATGTAATGTTGTATAATTCAGGACGAGGCAACTCTACTGACGTGGCATTAGAAAAACACTCAGAAATGTCTTACACTTGTCCCGCTCAACTCCAGGTAGCGCAGTGCGGTAGCCAGAGAGCCTTGCGACGCCAATATCCCAGCATAGGCCCTAAAAAAGTGAACGAATGAAAAATTTTGAGTTGCGTCGAACGGACGCACACAGAGAACAAAAAAAAGAGTGGCAGATGAAAAAATTGAGCCAAAAAGCAGTGGAAGGTGTGCCAAGGGAATAAACAGACGAAGATAAGACTACCTGAATTTTTCTGCAACAACAGAGCTGGTGGTCGAAGTCAGTTGCTTCCTCTCTCTCTCCACTGCTCTCTTGAGGAGCACCACCTTTTCCATCAGATCTTGAAGTGCCACTGCACTCACTTGCGAACCTCGTGCCGTCTTGTTCCTTTTGGGTTGAGGGAGGGGAAAAACGGGAAAAAAAAAGGGAAAAGTATATATAAAGGTAGGAGAGAGAATGACAGAAAGAAGCAGGAAGAAGAGAGAGGGAGAGGGAGAAAAAAGAAAAAGGTGCCAGCAGTAGAAACAAGAGAAACTGGAAATTGGTGAGGGAGAAAAAGAAAGGAGAGATGCAAGGGGTGCGGTGACAAACCAGCATTCAACGAATTTGTCGACGTTCCCGGAGCAGATGTAGCAGAGGTTGGCATTGTCACGGTAACGACCTTCGTCCTCGCACTCCAGTCTCTCTCCCAGCAAATCTAGGGGCACCAGGCAATCAGCATCGTGAAGGCAAACAACCCAACCAGCAAAAGTGTACACATCCCACAACCTTCTACAAAACCATTGTTTGCAGAGGAAACAGGGTTGCAAAAAAGGAGAAAAAAAGAAAGTAACACAAGTGTTTGATTTTTTTGTTTTACGTGCCAGGTGATCTCTCACCTTCCAAAAAATAACAAGGCAAATTAGGCAAGATTCGAACCCACGCGCAGGAAGCGCATTCCTGCGGTGCTCTACCAACGTTTTGCGCCCAAAAGGGGCCACCTTATAACGGTAAAGTACGGCGACGCAGTTGTGGTTTTATAACAGGATTCATAGAATTAGCGCGCGTGAGCTCCCCGCGCATGCGTACAAATCGCGGCGCTCGCATGCGCAGTTTAGCGATCACGGGCTCCGTATATTCGGTCCATAGCGAGGAGAGAACAATGGCGGATCAACGGAAAAGTGAGGACCCGTTTCTCGGCAGTCTTCAGAAACTAGACGACGAGCTAACGTGTCCAGTGTGTTCAGACCACTTCACGGAGCCCAAGGTCCTACCGTGCCTCCATTTCTACTGTAAGACGTGCATCGCGGACCTCATAAAACGCGCGAAGGGCCGCCCGTTCACCTGTCCCGAATGTCGCCGTGAAACGAACGCCGAGGAAGACAACCCGGATAATCTACCGACGGCATTTTTCGTGAATCGGATGGAGGAGCTGTTTTCGGTAATGAAAAAAGCGGAGCGGAAAGACAGCGTCACGTGCGAGAGCTGCCCCCGTCAGCAACCTGCTGTAGATTTTTGTCACGACTGCAGCAAGTACATCTGCACCGACTGCACTGAAGCTCACAAGCTTATGTATTTGCTTTCTTCGCACCGTGTCGTTTCCATCGATTCACTCCGTTCGACGATTAGTAAGAATCCGCCTGAAAAGCTTCAAGTCTTTTCCCGCGAGGTAAAATGCAGCAAGCACAAAGACGAGCCGCTAAAGTTATATTGCCACGACTGCAGCAAGTTGGTTTGTCGCGATTGCATTGTTATCGACCACAAAGATCACGAGTATGCGTTTGTTATCGATGCTGCTCCACTGTGCAAGGCGGAAATACAGGAAAAATCTGAATCGGTAAAGAAGATAACAGAAGGTGTAAAATCGGCCGTGATATCGCTGGGCGAATCAAGGAAAAAGCTTTCAGACCATGGAATTGCGACTACAAGAGCTATCGACCAAGCGATCGATGAAATTGTCGCAAAATTGGCAGAGAAACGAGAAGAGGAAATGAAAGAAAGAAAAAAGCAAGTCGCATCGTGAGCGAGGCGGAAGAGGAAATAGCTGCCCAGGAGAAGAATGCTCAACTTGCGGTGGGGGAGCTGGTAAGCCTGCAAGAATTTATGAGTCGCAGTCTCGAAACAGAAACGGATCAAGAAATACTGAGTCTGAAGAAGCAAGTGTCCGATCAGGTGGAGAGGGTGGGCGAGCTTTATAGCGATGCTGATAGGAAGTTCCCAGTGCTAGAGCTACCAGAGATGGTGGTGAACTGTGGGGAGAGGGTGAATGAGGTGATAGAAACGGAGCTATCTGTAGCAGTAGTGCCTTCATTTGGAAAAGATGAAGTCGTCATGGAAGAGGGTGAAGAAGTGGCAGAATTTGGTGCACGGGACGTACAATCATGTGCTAAAGTGGAAGAACCATGGGAGATAGGTGAATCATGTGCTGCAGAAATGGCAGTGACTGAGGAACAATCATGTGCTGCAGAAATGGCAGTGACTGACGATGCATGGGAGGTAAAATCATGTGCTGCAGAAATGGCAGTGACTGAGGATGCATGGGAGGAAAAATCATGTGCTGCAGAAATGGCAGTGACTGAGGAACAATCATGTGCTGCAGAAATGGCAGTGACTGACGATGCATGGGAGGAAAAATCATGTGCTGCAGAAATGGCAGTGACTGAGGATGCACGGGAGGAAAAATCATGTGCTGCAGAAATGGCAGCGACTGACGATGCATGGGAGGAAAAATCATGTGCTGCAGAAATGGCAGTGACTGAGGAACAATCATGTGCTGCAGAAATGGCAGTGACTGACGATGCATGGGGGAGGAAAAAATCATGTGCTGCAGGAAATGGCAGTGACTGAGGATGCACGGGAGGAAAATCATGGCGCAGAAATGGCAGCGGACTGACGATGCATGGGAGGAAAAATCATGTGCTGCAGAAATGGAAGCGACTGACGATGCACGGGAGGAAAAATCATGTGCTGCAGAAATGGGAGTGACTGACGATGCACGGGAGGAAAAATCATGTGCTGCAGAAATGGGAGTGACTGACGATGCACGGGAGGAAAAATCATGTGGTGCAGAAATGGGAGTGACTGACGGACCATTTAGTGCAGCGCGGGTGGAATTAGTTAAACCATATGGTGTAGGAGTGGGAGGAACTGGATCATCGAGGGGTAAATCACGTGGTCTAAGAAAAGAACCAGGGCAAACAGAGCCAATATGGGGTCGAAAATCAGTGCAGCCACAAAAGGCAATGGAAGCACCATGCCAACAGAAAGAAAGTGCATCCAATGGAGTATCACTATGGAGTCAGGATGGAGCAGTGGCAGCGACTGCCGGATACACGGGAGGCAGAATTGCTACATGGGAGGCAGTGGCTGCCGGATACACGGGAGGCAGAATTGCTACACGGGAGGCAGAATTAACAGTGGCTGCCGAACCAGTTTATACACGAGAGGATGCTGACTGTCGAGCCATTTGGACAAAGTATAGGGCACAAAGGCTAGTATCACAGGATCCTATAGAAGAAAAGACGGTATCGCAATATACGTCACACGAACCATCCATGTTGCATTCTGTGCCGTTCCCACAACAGTTAAACTATAAAACCCCGAAGAGACTTTCTCGAAGTAAAGACTAGTTTAAAAAGGCAGTTTACATTCTCTTGCCATGGACCACACAGTACAATTATATATAATATATATAATTATATATATATATATATTATGTGTATGTGTATATATATGTGTAGATGTTTATCGTTCTAGGTTTAATCATTAAGTAAAGTTGTGTTAAAGTTGTGTTGCTTTTTACACTGCCTTTTTTGCAATTTCAATTGCGCATGCGCAACTTACCACAGAGGGAGGAGAACTCATCGGGACCTGCGTAAGTGACGAGAGCTGCCAAAACTTCCCGCCAATTGTCAAGGCAACAGACTCGCACCAGCTGTGTCCAGTCCCGATTGACAATGGCTGACATCAACTGAAAAACAAGAAAAGCTCTTCCATGCAAAAAATTACTTAGCTCTATCATTGAGAGTGAAATTCTTACGCGACTAATTTGTGTTTCTTGCTGTTGGAAGAGTGTTTGTTGTGTCTTTTGAAGAAGATCAGACCCTCCAGCAATGGCCAGAACCATAGCTTCAGCCTAGAGGGGGAAGGGAGGGAGGGAGGGAGGGAGGAGAGAGAGGAGTGAAAGGTGGGAAGTTGAAATAAAGATACAGGGCAAAAGAAGAAAAGAATGTGGCAGTAAAATGTAAGGGCTAAATTAAGAAATGTTGCTAAAAACCGAACTTCATAGAGGTCCGTGAAAACAAAAATTGCAACACGTGTGCAACTTGCCATTCGTCCGTCTCCAATGCAAATATCAACAGCAGCCTCGAAATTCCCGACCAGCAAAGCCTTCGACAGAGCTCCATCGACGTCTGCAAATGAAACAACAAACGATCAAAACATTAATTTAGTTCATGGTGGAAATTGATTGTTACCCTACCATCAGTGGTGGCAATTGAAAGAGGCTTCTTGGGAGAAGAGGTTGGTTTATGGGGCTGAGTTTGGCTGGTGATAATGTTGTCAAAGACACCATCTCCTCCAGTATCATCTGTGGAGAGAGTTTTGATTCAAGAGTGAAGCTACAGAGCTTTTCTACATGAGTAGAATAACTCCTGAAATAAGACCTCACTAATATGGACACTTTCTTCTGTCCCATTGGTGTCTGGATTAGAGGAGTTCACTGTATTAGCAGCAAACCTTTGAAGCTCCAATATAGGCGCACTCTCCCCTCCTCCTCCCTCGTCCTTCCAGAGGAAGAGACGAGAGACGCTGAGAAAGGTCACTGGGGTCAATTGGCCCCGCCCCCGATCCTGTCGCTATGGCGCCCGACCGAAATCTCGACAGCTGCAAACGACACAATCAAGGACTTAGTTTTGTGAATTAGGTCCAAACCGGCACCTTTTGATCTAGTTCCTCCGTGTCGTAACCAAGGAGACAGAGATACTGCCGGCGAGTGTCTGGTTCAAAGGTCACCTAAGAATAAATTCATAATGGAAATTTAATGTAATTGGTAAGTTTTTGTATATACTGCACCTTTAGAAAGTTCCAGATGTTCTGTTCCGAAGTATCGGTGAACAGAGAGGCTTTCTCGGAACAAAAGTTTGAGAAGATCTGTTCAGAGATGCGGCGTGTTCCAGGCACGAGTCGAACGTTCTACCCATAGAGCTCTTCAGTCACCACCTGTAGCCAATTACATCTACAGATGAGGTCATGGAGCTAGATCACATGATGTCACAGACGTCACTGACTGACACGTACGGAGCGAGAATTGTCGTGGCGAAATGACACCAGTAGTTTCCACCATAACTGCAAAATTTATTTCAGATATGGTTAGAATTCAAAAATTTTACTCACTCTGACGGAGAATCTGGCTCCGCAAGTCTGCGGAACCACTGGGTGGCTTCTGAGAGTTGCGTGTGGTTTCGACAGGTTGTTGTCGAGGCTTTGGTGCAAGGTTGCAAATGGATCGTCTGACGTGTTGGAAGTGCTGAGAGTTTAGTAGAGTGTTTTTTCCAGTATTGTGATAGAATAGGGTGGCCTAAAATTTCGTACTTTTGTAAGCAAGTGGAGGGAAGGACAGGCCAATCAGAAAATCTGAATAGCTGAATATAGCGGGAGTTTGCAGTTGAAAGAATAGGGTGGCGTAAATTGTTCGTACTTTTAGCAAGCAGTGGGGTGGACAGGACAGACGACAATCCTGAGTAGCTTGACTATAGAGAGTGTGCAGTGAAGAATAGGGTGGCTAAATTGTTTGTACTTTTAGCAAGCAATTGGGGGAAGGAAGGGGCAATCAACATTCGAATACCTTGGACTATAGCTGGAGTGTGCAGTGAAGAATGGGTGCCTAAATTGTTCGTTACTTTTGCAAAACAATTGGAGGGAGAAGCACAGGCCAAACCAACCATCCCTGAAGAGATTGATATAGCTGGCCGTCGTGCAGTGACAAAATAGGGGGCCTCCTAAAATTTTCTTGTACTTTTAGCAGCAAGTGGGGGGAAGGACAGGCCAACCAACAATCATGAATACCTGATCTATAGCTGGAGTGTGCAGTGCAAGAATAGGGTTGGCTAAACGTTTTCGTACCTTTAGCAAGCAAGTGGAGGGAAGGGCGGGCCAACTAACTATCCGGAATACCTTGACTATAGCTGGCGAGTGAGTGAAAGAATAGGGTGGCCTAAATGTTTGTTTGTACCTTTATCAAGCAAGGGAGGACGGGCAGGCCACTTAAACTATCTGAATACCTGACTATAGTGGAGAGTGACAGTGATGGAAAGAATAGGGTGGCCTGAGTGGGAGCAATTATAATATATCACTTTAACGGTTCAGCAGGTTCCTCATGAGCGGAACCCCGCCCCTAACAGGGAGTACATGTCACATGACATTCAAACGAGCAGGTGACTGATCCATGGCGGGTCTGGACACCAGTGACCTCATAATATCACTGAGAGTGGCGGTAGCTCGATTACACACCTGCAGACGCAGAGAACAACGAGAGAGGACAGAAAAGAGAACATTGTTGGATTATAATGATTGCCTATTGTAGGGAGGACATGCAAACCTAATGGTGCTAAAGATCAAACACATACTATAGTTATATGTCATGGAGAACGTAATTGTGTGTGCGAGCACTTCTCATAGCAGGTTACATGGGCTAATTCAAAATTTTTACTACAACATGGAACACCAATTGCATTTCTTTCACTGTCGCGATTGTTTGGTTCTATGCTTTCAGCAACATTTTGTAATTTAGCGCTATATACATGCATCTGTAACCTTAGGATCTCCCTCAAACGAGAGAGAGGTCATGCAATGAGAAAGAAGTGGCTACAGCTGATAGTATACTATCTATAACATTACTTCTCTCCGAGGAAGAGGTCGCTGTTTAGGATCCCGCACAGGCCGCAGGGACGAGGTGTGTCTTTAGCGGCAGTGAGTAAACGAGGTCGAGTCTGTGGACAGCCAGGCGAGGGAGAGAGGATCCCCGTGCTCTGTGTCTTCCACGAGTCTCATCGGCGACGTGTGCCAAACCTGAGATCCTCAGTAGCCTTAGTGTGCAGGAGAGGGAAGCGGAGGAAAATGAATAACTTGGAAACCTCTCTGTAATGAGTAAGGACACTCCTGAAATGAGGACCTGTCTAGAGGACACTTTTCTTTCCCCAAGAACATGTTCATGCATGCAATTCAACCCCTGACATGAGGACGACCTCTCTAATAGAACACCCTTTCTTTCCAAGAACAGTTCTTGCCTGCAAGGTCTCAACCTGAAATCGAGGACCCTTCATCAAATAAGAAACCTTTTCTTTCCCGAAGAACAGTTCTTGCATGCAATTCACTGAAATGAGACACCTCCTACAAGGACACTGTGCGTTCACCAAGACAGTTCTTGCATGGCAATTCACCCTGAAATGAGGACACTACACTAATATGACACTTTGCTTCTGTCCACTGGTATTCCAGCATATAAGGCCTTTCACCATGCAGGCTCTAGCCAATGCCCCACACCACTACGTTTCCCTTCAAAAGCTGCGAGAATCTGAGCAAGACTTCGTGTTCTCGTTTCAATTCAATATGTACTACCGCGGACGACAGGGCTCGGCTGAGATGGTCTCCAGAGATAGCAGTAACGATCGGAGCTAGCACGTCGCTGCCAGCTAATGGCATGTTGCAGTGGACCCTGGCATTCGGATCTGCACTGTCAAAAATGTACAGACACACAAACGTTAAATTTTGGGATCTCCTTTTTTCTTCT